GAACAGTTGAGTAAAGTACGAACAGAAAACCTCGATAGCATTACCGCGGAGAAACCAGAGTTATTGTGACAGATTTATCTGTCACCGTTTCACTTTTAAAGGGGCGAAAAATGACGTAATCGCTCTAGTTTCCCCTAGAAGATAGAGGTGGCGAACCACTGTATTTAAGCTGGCCTTGGTAATTGGACTGCATTGCCCCACTCTGTATCTTACAGGATGGACACTGATCAAGTTCCCCAATTGTTTTAACTTGAGGGAATCTGCCAACAGATAGTTCCCGGACAGAAGGTAAGCAACTTCCATAGCAGAGCAAATCAGTTTGAGCGGCGCAGTTGGCACTAGTTGGGCGCCTTTGGCCGTCTCAACGATTGGTGCGTTTGTGGAGTTTACCTACTTTACGAGCTTGCCAGTGTCCTAAAGCTAATACTACCCTGAAAGACTACAGTCTTGCTTGCAGCGATTTCGAAGCTCTTAAAATATGGTTCCTTTCGGGGAGCAGAGGCAGGATTTTCTTTGCTGGTAATCGACCTCCCAAGCCGGAAGCTTCATTCTTAAAGTGTGCTATTCCTGTTGCAGATAGGTTCACTTCTTGAAACTGCAAGAATTTTGCATAATTTAGACACGCTTTGTGGTGGCAGAGCAGTAACGAAAATATGCTGTTCAATTTTGAGCGCCGATACAACCACCCCCAAGCCTTCGAAAATGGACGCTAAACTAGATTGCAATTAAAACGCGAAAAAATGCACAGATTCGTCCGGGACCTGTGTTTTGACATTTGTAGGGCTCTGCCTGGGGCTTAAGTTTTGGCCACTGCTTTTAGCCTAGCTTCATACGGCATTTTTTCGGTCATATAATTCCTTCTGTGGTTTGCCATCCTACCCATTCACACCAACGACTAGGGGTGAGGCGTGCGCCGGCTTTTAGATTACGCCTGGCGGTGGCCCAGGACTGGAGAAGGTTCCCCCAAGTCAGTAAGACGGACTAGGTAGAACAGTGTACTGTAGGAGAAGAAGCTGACAAAGTGCTCTGCAGGAAAAAGTTGCTCACAGTAAACAAGCCATTTGGTGTGTGTGTGTTCTGTGTCTCTCCGGGG